TCGTCCTCCTGTTATCTGCCCTTAATAAAACGAGAGCGTGTGATCTGGGGCAAGGAATGAAATGTCATCCTGACCCATTTCTGATTCTCACCCTTCTGTTTCCACAGATCATTAAGCTGAAAGCAGAAGCCCGTCTCGATCTCCTGAAGCAGATCGGGGTCTCTGTGGATACGTGGCTAAAAAGTGCAATGAACCAGGTGATGGAGGAGCTGGAAAACGAGCGCTGGGCCAGCCTGCCCTCGGTGACCAACAACGGCTCTGCACACCTGGTATGGCCCCATCCCCTCCCACTACTTAAAGGGAGCTTCCAAGCAGAGGGGGAGCGACTTTATACATGGTCTGACAGTGACAGGACAAGGGAGAGTGGCTTTAAAATAAAAGAGGGGAAATTTAGGTCAGATGTGAGGAGGAAGTTCTTTACTCAGAGGGCAGTGAAGCTCTGGCACTGCTGCCCAGAGCTGTGGGTGCCCATCCCTGCAGGTGCCTGAAGCTGAGGATGGGCCCTGAGCAGCCTGAGCTGTGGGGGTTGGATGGGGGGGATGAATGACCTTCAAGGCCCCCTCCAACCAGAGCCATTCTGTGATTTGAGGTGTGCTAAATACCTGACTGCACCTCTTGGTGCAGCTCGGGCTGCTCAAGGTCCCATCCGTGGCCGTGGGCACCTCCAGGCATGGGGCAGCACAGCTTTGGGCAGGAGTTTGCCAGGACCTCACCGCCCTGTTTGAGCTATTATTTGACTTCCATGAAATCTGTGATAGGATGCTAATGGTGTGTAGTAGCAGTTTTCCCTTTCTTCTCCCTTTTCTCCACCTCTTCCAGCTCCTGCTGGGCACATTGGGTGCTCCCATCCCTCTGCCCTGCAGCCAATGCCATCCCCCTACCATCAGCAGGAGGTTGCAGGCTGACTCCCACATTCCCCTTCTACACTTATATAAGCTCCTGTGTGTAAGAAGGAGCTGCTGTTGACCTTGGCAGGCCAGGCAAGGACAAGCTGTAGATGGAATTCTTAGAACTGCTACAGAAATTACATTGGATGCAATCATTGTTGAAATACTGTGGCCGGAGACAAGCAGCACTTTCACTTCAGCCTTGAAGAGCAAGCAGGCAGCAGTCAGTGCTCCAAAGGCAGCTCTTGGTGTCCTCGTGTCACAGTTTGTGCTCTCAGTGTACTTCCAATTAAGCAATGGAGGCAAGGAGGGCAGCCCTGATGGTTTGGTCCCTCTGTATGGTGCAGTACTCAGAAGGAGCTGTATCTCCTTACACGTCCCGTTGGTTGACTTTCCAATAGAACAATGAAATGTAAAATCTTGGAAAGGAATTCTTTCTTTTTCCTGCTCTTAACAGCCCCTAAAAAGTTGATTATCATTTTGAATTTCAGTGCCATCTGGGAAATACAGCGCTGCTGTTACACGTAATGTAATTGAGACCTTTGTGCTGCTTGCAGGACATCAAATGCACTGTAAATATGGAATTCATTTAAAAAGCAGGAGAGAATGGTGTTTTTATGGAGTTTGTGCTTAGTTTTGCCTTCGCCGTGACTTCCAACTGCCCACTTCTAAGAAACATTTCTACAGTAGAAGTGCAGCACAGCAGAGCCAAAAAGTTCATAGAATGGCCTGGGTTGCAGAGGAGCACAGCGCTCATCCAGCTCCAAGCCCTGCTGTGTGCAGGTCACCAACCAGCAGCCCAGGCTGCCCAGAGCCACATCCAGCCTGGCCTTGAATGCCTGCAGGGATGGGGCATCCACAGTCCACAGCTCACAGTTGGTTCCTGGAAGTGGATATTTCAAAGTGTGAGGGGCTGTGGCATCTTCCAGCCTCTGGGTTGCTGGTTCCTACTGGTCTGAATGTCACTGGATAGCAGCCTGCATGGAACAGAGTGTAGATTGCAGAATCAGCAGTGGAGGCCTTTCTGGGGTCCTTCTGTAGGCAATTCTCATGACATTTTGGCATCTATTTTATGCTCCTCAAAGTTGGACAGCCAGGTCAGACCTGAGGTGGTTCAATGTCTGCATCTTCAAGGACAGACAACCAAAATATACTGAAAGAGACATTTTGGTCTCCCTTCTCGTGTTAGCACACTCGGAGCAGGTGTTTCACAACCAGCTCTTCATGGACACGATACCTCATTCCACAGTGCATGTCAGCTGGGACAGATTGGACTTGGTGACCTCAGAGGTCTTTTCCAAGCTTAGTGATCCCATGATTCTATGATACAGACCATGCATAGGAAGGGCAACAAATGCAAAGTGTTGCTTGGCTCATTTTATTATTGCTTCATTTATTTTTGTTTGACGTCTGCTTTGCCTTCACATTTAAGTTGATGAACATCCTTGCTTTTAATAGATCAATGCTGATGCAGAGAAAGAAGAAGGTGAAGAGTTTGAGGACAGCATGGATGTTTTTGATGACAGCAGTTCTAGTCCTTCTGGTACTCTTAGAAATTACCCTCTCACCTGCAAAGTCGTTTATTCCTATAAGGTTTGTGATATTATTTTTCTCTAAAATTTCTGTCTGATTAGAAAAACAAATAACACAGTGAGCACATAAGAGCTGCAACTGATGAGTCGTTGTGAAAAACATGGAGCTGCAGTGCAGAACCCACAGTCTGTGTGAAGCTGAAGCATGCAGAACAGCCCTGCCTGCCTCCTTGTCCTGGAATGCTGAGTTACAGCTTTGCTGAAAAGCCACATTTGTGCTCTTTACCTCTGCTAGTGCTGCTGGGGCTGCTGTGAATCACAGCTCTTCCTTACTAAAGGCAGCTGCAGGCAGAGGGTGGAGTAATGAGGGCTACCAAGGTAAATTGGGCTCAACAGGCTGGTGGTATCCGAGCTGCTTCCATCAGTTCCCAAGGGTGAAGAAAGCGGTCAGAAGAACCCTCAAGTTCAGATATGTTACATCATAAGAAAACGTTTGCATTTTCTCTTTTTCCTGTTACGTTTTTCAGGCTTCTCAGCCAGATGAATTGACCATAGAGGAACACGAGGTACTGGAGGTGATTGAAGATGGAGATATGGAAGACTGGGTTAAGGTATTGCTTTTTCTGAGGCTGCTTTCAATATTACTTTTTAGAAATCGGGCTGTGGGACAGAAGCCCTGAGCAGGGCAGGTAGAGCTGAGCTCCTCTGGTCTCCTTGATCTGCAGGCACGGAATAAAGCTGGCCAGGTGGGCTACGTCCCTGAGAAGTACCTGCAGTTCCCAACATCCAGCAGCCTGCTGAGCATGCTGCAGTCCCTTGCTGCACTGGACAGTCGGTCCCACACCTCCAACAATTCCACAGAGGCTGACCTGGTGTCGGGCAGCCTGAATGGAGATTCCAGTGGTGAGTGTTCATTGAGAAGGAAATAGTGAGTAAAGCTTGCCTTCTGCACGTCAGATTTAGATGTGAGAGTTTCTTATTTTTGACCTTTGAGTACAACTGTTCTTAATAACCATCTCTCTAATTGCAAGAATCAGCATAATAACATACTCGGCTACCCCGTAGATTAACTAAACTAGAGAAAACTAAACTAGTTTGACTCAGCAGCTTTGTATATCATACTTGTTGGCTTCTCTTCCTCAGGCTGGTGCTGATTATCCTTCTTTTTTTCTCTCTCTGTCCATTCCTCAGTCTGTTTTGTGAAAGCACTTTACGACTACGAGGGGCAGACCGATGACGAGCTGTCCTTCCCAGAAGGAGCCATCATTCGCATCTTGAACAAGGAGAATCAGGATGATGATGGCTTTTGGGAAGGAGAATTCAATGGGCGTGTTGGGGTGTTCCCATCGGTGTTAGTTGAAGAGCTGACAGCCTCAGAAAATGGAGAGACTCAGTGGATTGGAGATATTCAGGTATGTGAGGACAGGAGGTGTTGCTTGGGGCATTTTCCTGTAGGAAATCCAACTTGTACACACCAACCCCTCTCACTCCTAGGTGAACACTGGCAATCTGGAGCTTTTTCTTTGGCTGTCCATGTCCTATAAGTTACAAAACTGTGGTGCAGATATCAACCAATGTGGGAGATTTTGCAGGACTGGGAAGATCTGCTGTTTCTTCAGCAGATAAAAAGCAACCAATTAAAAAAAGGCAAAAACAAAGAGTGCTTACCTTTTAGCTTCTTACCCAGCCTAATAATTGGCAACTGATGTGTTTTGGCAAACGTAACACATTTGTGAATAAAGGGAAGTATTTGAGTGGAAAGGAAATGAGCCAAGGAGAAAATTCTGTCTGCTTCTTGTAATGAATTCGTGGCACAGAGTGAAACATCAAACAGAACCCGGCAAGCAGAGAACCGTGGAGCTCCCATAGCCCTAATGTAGTGTTTTCATGCTTAATTCTGGTCTGTGTCTTCTCAACTTTTGGGAGGGAGAACTGCAGATGTTGTAGTACAGTCATTTCTGACACATGCTTTTACTGCCTTGCAGTTCTGTAACCTTGCGTTTCATTAGAAAATCAGGCACATTCTCATCTCTATCTGTGGTGCTGGACACTGGGCTTCCACATGTCCTGCTGACATTGTCCCACTGTTTTTATTCTTTGAGACCCTTAAAAATGAGGAGTATATTCAGCTGCATTCCTGGACGTGCTCAGAGCTTCTCTGCTCTGACCAAGCTTTGCTTCTCTTAAGTATTGGGCCTGTTGGTGGTAACCAGAGAGACATTCACAGCTTGACAGACACCACATGCACTCACTGTGGGTTCAGGGTTAAGGGTTACCCTTTTGGCTTAGGGTTAAGGGCTACCCATTAGGTATTAGGTATTATTAAGGATTAAAGGCCACCCTTTTGGGTCAGGATTAAGGGTTTCCCCTTTGGGGCAGGGTTAAAGGTTGCTCCTTTGGGTTAGAGTTAAGGATTACCCACTTGGGGTGGGGTTAAGGGTTACCCATTTGAGTTAGGGTTAAGGGTTAAAGGTTACCCTTCTAACTTAGGGTAAAAGGGTTACCATTTGACTTAGGGTAAAGGGTTACCCATTTGGGTTAGGGTGAAAGAATTACCATTTGAGTCAGTGTTAAGGGTTACTCTTTCGGGTTAGAGTTAAGGGTTGCTATTTTGCATTTCCTTCTCAAATGGACCCTGGCACTTCTAACAGTTTTTCTCTAGACAAAAGTTCCAGGCATGCTGTTGCCTCAGAAGGCTTCCCATGCCTCGGTGTGTGTAAGGAGCTGGACTTTCAGCAGCACCTCTCTCCATTCCCAGGTGTCCCCCACCCCAAAGCCGAATCACACCCTTCCGCCGCTGCCGCTGTACGACCAGCCTCCCACCAGCCCCTTCCACAGCCCGGACAAAAGAGGCTCCCAGTACTTCCCCAGGTCACCATCGACTAACGGTGAGTGTTGTGATAGTGTAAGAAGCATTTCCTGGGCTGCAGTAGGAAGGGCAGGCAGCAGACTGGAGGTGATCCTTCTCCTCTGCTCAGAAAGGTGCAGCCTCCTCTGCCCAGTGCTCACTTTGCAGTAGGACGCATTGATGTGGTGGCCGAGCCCAGCACAGGGATCTGTCATACAGAGGAAGGCTGAGAACTGGCACTGTTCAGCCTCAGGAGAAGGCTGTGGGAGGAAGGTGATCACAGAATCATGGAATGACAGCATGGCCTGGGTTGCAAAGGAGCACAGCGCTCATCCAGCTCCAAGCCCTGCTGTGTGCAGGTCGCCAAGCAGCAGCCCAGGCTGCCCAGAGCCACATCCAGCCTGGCCTTGAATGCCTGCAGGGATGGGGCATCCACAGCCTCCTGATCTATCAGTTCGTTGCAGGGAGTTGGACAGGATGACCATTAAAGGTGCCTTCCAAACCAAAATTCTAGGATTCTGTTAAATAGATGAAAGAGGTGGGGTCGTACTCAGGAATGAAGGGACAAAAAGTAACAGGAAAAACTGAAATACTGAAAATGCCACACAAAGATTTTGCTTTGTGTTTTTGTTGAGAAGGTGATCAAACATCGGAGCAGGTTACCCAGAAAGATTATGAAGTCTTCATCCTCAGAGATGCTCAGAGCACAGCAGGACGTGGTCCCAGACTGCGTGCTGTGGTGGAGCCTGCTTTGGGCTCAGCAGTTGGATGGGTCACCTTCCAGCCTCAGCCATTCTGTGGTTCTAAGCCACACTCAGAGACAAAATGAGACTCCTGAAGGGCACCAGTGTTGTGTAAACACTGCTTGTATTGTAATACATACCACTAGCAGAGAAAATACTTTGTGCATTACCCCTTCAAAGTCGGCTCACAGTATGTCATGAATCGTGGAATCATTAGGGTTAAAAAAGATCTCTCAGATCCCCACCATGCCCACTGCCCACATCCCTCAGTGCCACATCCCTCAGTGCCACCTCCCTCAGTGCCACCTCCCCACAGCTCTGCGACATCCTCAGGGATGGTGACCCCCACGCTCCCTGCGCAGTGCCAGTGCCTGACTGCTCTTTTGGAGAAGGAATTCTCCCTAATATCCAACCTGACCCTCCCCTGGCACGAGGCCATCGCCTCTCATCACTGTTACCTGGGAGCAGAGGCCGACCTCCCCCTCACCACAACCTCCTTTCAGGAGTTTGAGAGAGCTGTAAGCCCCCCTGAACCTGAGCAAGAGAAGAAAACGTACTGAGGAGTGCTCAGTTCACATTCTGGTACGTAGCCACCACTCAGCACTGATTTGCTGTTGCTTAACCCTTTCAGAAAACAGCTTCAGCTCAGAGTCCCCTGGGTTCTCACAGCCTCCACGACTTCCTCCTGAAACTTCATATGGCAAACTGCGACCTGTAAGTTTTGGAGCTGGGTTTCTGTTGATGCTGTGGGCCAGTTTGTGTCTTTGTATCCCCAGCCTGGGGAGATGGGGGCACTCAGAGCACTGCAGTTCCTGTGCCCTGGGGTTCAGCACCTGCTCGTTTGGCTCTGGGTGCTCTGCTCATCCCATGGCTGCCTGCAGCAATACAGTGTCACAGAATTATGGTGTGAGGAAAGGTCTGTCCACACCCCTTTGGTAATACTGCAGATGTGTGAGAAAGCTATGGGAATAGCGAGAGCTATTTGAGATAAGTGGGCACTGGAACAAAGCAAAGCTGCTCTTGTTCAAACAGTGAGTCCTGGCTGGGTTTACAGGTGACCTTGAATCTTATCTGTCCCCTTTTTATCTAAGCTGCCCTTCTGTATCTGCCTTTATGGTTGTCATACCTTCACGCCTCTTTTCACGGATGGTGAAATCTATCCTGGGAGGAGGATTTTACATCTCTTCTGTAGGCGTCAGTCAACAAACTTACAGCAGGCTTTGGGAGATTACTTCTGTTGTTGCCACATGAATTACTGCTGTGCAGAACGACAGAAGAGCTGGGGAATAAGTGTCAGAACAGTTTAATGGTATGATTTGTACCATTGCTTTTTATCCAGAGGCTGAGTTCCCAGCCACACCACGTGCTGGCTGCAGTTGGACATCACATGCAGTTACATTTTGGGGTTACATTTATTTCCAGACCGCTTGACTTAAGGATTTTGAATTCAAACTACTTAAGAGTGATGTCCCCTATCTTTTGTGCTGCCTTTGCTGCCTAGACGGGGACATCTAGCCAGAAAAGGAGGGGCAACATTTCATCACTTCAGTCTTGCAAATCTTGCATCTGCTAGGATTAATTCTGAATTAAGGATGGGCACTTGCAAAGTCCTGCACCAAACTGCACTAAGATGTAATGTTTGTATTCTCCTAGCATTTTTAATGAATGAAATTGCAGGAGAAGCTTTGTTTAGAATGAATGAATATTCAGAATATTCCAGCAGTCAGCGAGTTAGCTTTATTCACTGCGATACCCAAGGCAGCTACATCACTGCATCATTAAATATTGAAGGGTGGAACAGAGGAGTTGGAAGTGATCTCAGTCTCTGGTGAAATGACTGATTCAGCTCTTTCATTTTGTAGATTTGAACTGACTTTGTGAGTAATATACATTTCTATGACATGTATAATATACTACAGCAGTCGCATGTCTCAATTTAAAGCATTTCTCAGCGCTGCATTTTAAATACGTTTCGTTTTGAAAGCATTGTGAAGCTTTTTGTGAGGTTGTGGTGTTCATCCTCACAGTTCATGTTCTTCATAGCAAGTCACTGTGGTGCATTCTGACAACATGTGATAAAAGTCCTCCACGAGGCACCGCTAAAGCTTCTGTTAGTGCTCCATCAGAAGCAGTGGGAAAGGAGTTGATGTGGCAGAGCATAAAAATAGCACTGGATTTCAGGTATATGCCACTGAGGTCAGCAGTTGATTAAATATAAGTAAGCTGCTTGTTCCTCACGGCATTCCTGCCACTGCCAGCCCATGTAAGGTACAGGTGTGGTGTCCAAAGCCCACCCTGTGGCTGAGCACCACGAGGTCCATTGGTGCAGGTGGAGGGGCTGGGCTTTTCCCCCTCCCTGTTCACCTTCCATCCACGGTCTGCATGTTGGCATCGAGTCAAGGGCTGAGCACAGGGCTGCACCTCCGTGTGAGCTCAGAAACGCTGAGTTTTGTGGTGGTTGTGGCTGTTGCAGGTGCGAGCAGCTCCTCCACCCCCAACGCAGCAGCAGCACCGCCGGCCAACAGAGAAGATTGAGGACGTGGAAATCACGCTGGTGTAACGGTTGGACTCGTTCCGCAGTAGTGCTACAATCAAGACCAAACCCGGGATTTGGTCGGTCTCGTTTTTAGGCACCTTTGCATGATGAAGACTTGGAATCGAGCGAGAGACAGGGAGGATTTGGGGGACGGTGACGCGGCGGACTCCTTCCCACGCTCGTGAATATGTTGTGCCTTTTTTTGTTGTTTCGCTTTCTGTACATCATTCCTCCTCTCTTAGCACAAACCCAGGCGGGCTGAGCAGCGAGCGGAGGATCGGCACCGGGCAGCTTTCTCTCTTGGCTGAAGATGGTCATTTTTACACGGAGGCTGAGAAGGAGCCTCCTGCTGCAGTCACAGCGCCCTTCCATCACGTGTGTCAGTACAGTATATTACTGTTGCCATAGGAATGTGCTAAAGGCTGTCCGTTCTTCAAGTAGCATTGCTTGTCTGATTAGGCATTAATCAGATCTAACGGAGTGAAAAAGGGAACTGAAGAATGAGTGTAAGGAGAGGCTGGCTCCTCTTTAATGTCCCCTTGAAGGAAGAAACAGGAAAATAATCTCATAGGTAAGGGAAAGTGATGCAGATCATACAGCGTTAATTACAGTAATGCACACCTCTTCAATAATTAACAGTTAAGCAGAGCTAAATGTTCTTTGTATTAATATTTATGCAGTACATTTAGTAATAGAGTATCTAATACGGAGGTGCTGAATTAGTAGCAACATCTTGTTCCATAGCCTAAACCGACTGGTAGACAAGTGAGATTTTTGTCTAGATCTGGAAATTGAGCTTCTTTTTTTCTTTTTTTTTTTTTTCCTTAGCAGATTTTGGGGGTTTTGCTTTTGAAGTGTTTGGCTCACTCTTACCCCAGTTACCGCCGCGTGCTTTTCTATCCCACGTTAGCATGTATCTCTGTCACCAAACTGGCTGGCTGGAGTTAAGTTACGCGTCGCACACCTGCCATATTTTGGTTCTGCATTGGAGAATCCCATAGCATTGAGCCCCAGAAGGAGCCTCGCACAGCTGCAGAGCTCCCTGCTGTCTGCAGACCTCCAGGCTGCTGCTGGGGCTGCGGTCCCGAATTCCTCTCTCACAACAGACAGAGAGGATATCAAAACGACTTTCAAACCTCTGGAAAGGAAACTCGGTTTTTTGGGGGAGGAAATGGGAGAAATGGTCAGAGGAGAGGGGAGGAGCGGATGAAAGCGGGTTGTTCTTCATCTGTGAGCAGCGAACTGTTGTTGGAAGAGCAGCACCCATCGAATGCAAGCTGCAGGCATCACAAGGCTGTTCCCCCTTCTGTGAATTCTATGAATGCCTTCTTTACGTGTTCGCTTTTTCCTACGCCAGCAGCAGTTCTGCCTTTAGCTGAGTTCCAAGGGCTACTCTTTGAGGGCTGCCTTCACATCAACCATCCAGCCAGATTTTCTCCTCCACTGCGCACCTCCTGGGAGCCCCGTCTGGGCTGCATCTCCAGCTCTGCCCTTCTCCTTCCCCAGCGGCCATTGGGAGAAGAAAGCTCCTTGGTGGGTTCTGGAGCCGCTGACAGTCCAGTGAAGTCTTATTCTTTCGCACCTCTCGTCCCGTTGATCTGTTTGAGGTCTTTTTACGTGTTTATCAAACTTGTTCTTAAGTTTAAAGAAAAAAACAAAACATGTTTTTATTAAGATTTAACTGTTTGCAAAAACGTCGGAAGCTTCACAACGCAGAAGAAAAGCAAAGTCTTGCCATAGTGCCCACCTTCCATCCCTTCGGCCAGTTGTTTTCTGCGCGTCCTCCATACGCGGACTTTCAGACTTCAGAAAAGTGTTATTTAAAGTCTCTTTAGTTGTATTTTAAAATATTTTCTGCAAGAGCTGCTAATTTTATTTAAAAAAGGAGAAAAAAAAAAAAAAAAGAGAGGAAAAAAGTTGTACAAATATGCCTCCTTTTAACTATGATTTCTTCATACAGGGCATGTATTCGACGTCTCATCGTGTACAGCGTCAGTACACCGAAAGCATCGGTGCAAATGCTTTCTTTCTATCGGCTGTAAAAAGTTTGTATTTATTATGTATAAAAAGTTGAATAATAAAAAAAGTGGAACTAAATCCCCAGCGTTGCCCCGAGATGAGGCACTGCTGAAGGCCTCTGTAGAGTCACAGAGGTTGGGAAGGACCCCCGAGGTCATGCAGTCCATCCATCCCCCAGCACCAGCACTTCCCACTGCACCACGTCCTTCAGTGCCACGTCTCCGTGGTTCCTGAACCCCTGCCCGGATGGGGGCAGCCTCTTTTCCTTCCCATGTGTTTTTCTGGGTATCCTTTTCTGGTTTATTACCCTTTTACGCAGAAATTTACATCTTTTGCTTTTGATCCACATACTTAAAGCAATCTCAGATGGCATTTCGAGGTGGTATTTATACGAGGAACAAAACGATGCCGGAAACAGAGACCCAGCAACAGAGCTCCAGTTCTCAAAATCGCTGCTTAATGGCCTTTATGCCATTAGGATCATTGCATCAAGGGGAGAGGGGCTGATCATAACTGCCCCCTGCAGTTGTCCCTTCGTGGTGCTGACTGGCCGTTGTGTGAGGAGCCCTTCCCATGCAGCACACAGCTTACACGCTGATCCTGTTGTGCTGTGGCACTCAGTGCTGTTCTCCTATGCAACCACCAGTGCCAGGCTCTCTCCTTTCAGTGTCCCTGTCCCACAGGTGGGTGTTGTTCCATTAGGTAAAGCCTGGGCTTTCAGCAGGCTCTCAGCTGAGCACACGGCAGCGCGGTGCTGTTTGAACGCCGCTTGGTGCAGGGATGCAGCACTGTTGGCCCCAGTGCATCTGTGTTGGATTGATCTCCAGTCTTCCTCCCCACCCGTTAGCCTTTTTTACTGAGCACCTGCAGCCTCTCCCATGGTGGAATCTCAGCTCTTTATATCCCTTCACGCTCCTCCGAAGGCGCTGTCCTGCCCTGCTGCTCGCACTGCATTCCTTCCTGCAGTTTCCCATTCCCCCGTGTTGTGCCACAGCTGGCGCCCCGCAGCCAAACGCCTGTGCAGGCGATTGCATCAGCACTTGTGATCTCCAGGAAAATCTCTTCCCCCTGAAGTGCTCTGCTCATGGAAACAGCCTTTCGTGGAAGCATTCCCTGCAGCGCGGCGGGCGATGCTGCAGATGCTGCCGCAGAGTTGCCCCGTTGTTCCTCCAGTTGCAGATCCACAGGAGGGTTGGAAGGATATTTGCACCGGGCTGGGAGGTGAGCTGAGGAATGCAGAGAGATTGGTCCAAAGCCAGAAGGAGAAAAGAAGGGATAAACAGAAAGAAGAGCTGCTGCAGCCAGGGATGCAGCAAATGAGCCAATAAAACACGCAGAGAGGAAAACGCTGACGTGCTGATTGTACCAAGCAGTCTCGCAGTGCAGCCCGGGGGGATTTGAGCATTGTAGATCTGGTGGAAGGATCACCACAGCACAGGAACCTCTGCATTGCAGAAGCACAGATTGCATCCAGAAAATACACACACTGCAGTGACACCGGGGAGGTCGTTTAGTGGCACTGAGCTGGAACAGATGAGATTTCTGTGGTCTGCAAATAAGCACGAGAGTCACTCAGCGGTTCAACTCAGCAGCATTTGTGTGTGCAGAGACACCCAAGGTCAGTGGCTCTGAGCTGCAGGTGCCCCTGTTCACTGCAGGGAATGGGAACAGATGAGCTGAGGGCCCCAAGCACTCTCCAGCTGCTCTGGTTCTCCTGAATGCAGTGCTGTGGCTGGAGCTGCGTGCTGGCACTGCTGCAGGTGGAGGACATGTGCAGTGCTTGGACTCAGACCATGGCTTTGCCTCCACGGTGAATGCAGTGCATGGCTCCATCTCAACCTGTGGGATTTCACTGCAGTGGAACGCGCCATTTTCATTCTAAATCCATAATGAGGATGGGAATGCAATTAGTTGGCTCATTGGAACACCCAGAGCACTGCTGGCACTGCCCAAAGCTTAACTTCAGCTCTGTGATGAGGTGCCATTCCATTTCGAACTCTTTTCTTCCAGTCCCAATTTTTTTACCTTCTTTTTTAAAAAACAGATGTTTTGCTTGTTTTAGATTTTGTTTTTCTTAATGCAAATTCGAGAACAATCGCTGCAAGGGACATTTCTGCTCTTATGTAATTGGCTTTGTCTGTGCAATGGCTTCTCTTTTTTTTTTCCATCATTTCTTAAGAGACAAATGAACTCCCAGGCCGTGGTGCATTGGGAATGCTGACAGCAGCTCTTTAAATCCCACTGCACAGCTATTTGTCTTCTCTGGGCTCAGCCAAGTTCTGCAGAATGGTCCCAGTCCAGCTTCACCTCTGCGTGATGGGCAAATTACTGCACTAATGAGCTTCTCCTGGAGAAGGGCCTCAGTACGGGGGAAGGACAGAGGGAGGGCAGTCTGTCTGCAGGTGCCTGCATGTGGGATGATGGCTGTCAGGTTGGATGTCAGGGGGAAGTTCTTTGCTATGAGAGCGGTGAGGTGCTGGAACAGCTGCCCAGAGAGGCTGTGATGCCCCGTCCATCCCTGGAGGTGTTCAAGGCCAGGTTGGATGGGGCCCTGGGCAGCCTGGGCTGCTGTGAGATGGGGAGGTTGGTGGCCCTGCATTGGTGGGGGGTTGGAGCTTCGTGATCCTTGAGCTCCCTTCCAACCCAAACCATGCTGTGATGCTGTGAGGACTTCACCACCACTTGTGAAGGATTGCAGCAGAGAAAGGCAGCCGAGGTCGCGTCGGTAAATCCAGCAGTGCCATCTCCTTTAGCTCAGCAGCACGCCGTCAGTGTTCTGCACTCATTGGCTTTTGGCTGCTGCTGGCTTTGCAGGTCTCCCTGCATCTTAAATCAGCGCCGCTTCCCTCCATGGCCGCGCGCTGGGCCCTGCTGGGCTCTGCTGGCACAGCATCCGCGGCCACTCCTGGCTGTCGGCGTGCTGCAAAGCGCCCTGCTGGCTCCCAGCAAACTGCTGCTCTCACATCTCGTGTTCGCTGTGTTGGCAGAGCTGTGGGGATGTAACAGCAGAGAAATGCTGCCTCTGCTGTCGGAATGATCGGAGCTAATCCGAGGATGAGGGGACGGTTTATTGATTCAAAGTCCTGGCCAGACGTAGATGGAGATAATTCTAGGATGTAGGGGTATTATTCCTACTGAAAAGCGGGCTTGGAAATTGCTCTCATTTATTTATTAGCCTCTGCAAAACAGTCGTGTGCTACTGCAGCTGGAAGGTTATGTAGAGACGTGAGTAGCTGTGATACTGAAAATAAGAGCTTTCTGGGTGGCAGTCATCTGATATTTTTGCTGAATCTGCTCGTTTCCTACAGCAAATAGCCACTAACACCGGATTCAGCTCTCTTTCCTTAAAGATAAAAAAAGGACAATGTGCTGAGTTTTCAGCTCTGCTTTAGCATTCCGGTCAGGTATCTCTTTGCTCTTCCTTGCAAGCTGGTTTCTGAGGGCTCCGGTTAATGTCCTTGAAAATAACCTTGCGCTCAGGCTGGCTGCTGTGTCATCGCATCCGTCCCCATGCAGGCAGCATCCTGCCCGCAGTGGCAGCTGATGGGGGCTGTCCAGTCTGGCAGACCCGAGTTACCACCAGCAGATAACGTGCTGTGAAGGGCTGGCTCGGCCCTGAGGCTCTGCTGAGGGACAGGGCTCAGAGTTCTGTCAGTGCTCAGCCTTTCCTCTTGTTCAGGGCCGTTGGAATCATAGGCTGGTTAAGTTGGGAGGGGCTGGATCACATCGCCAGTACTGGGGGATGGGATCGGATGATCTTTAAGGTTGGAACTGAATGGTCTTTATGGTCCAACCCAAACTATTCTATGCTTCTGTGGTTCTACTTTCCACCCTTCAGAGGTG